GCTTGTATCTTGTTGACATTGTAATGCATGCATCTTGTACTGCTTGCATCTTGTACCGCTTTGTATCTTGTACTGCTTTTATCTTGTATATTGCACTGCTTTTTTATCTTGTACTGCTTGTATCTTGTAATGCTTGCATCTTGTACCGTACTTGTATCTTGTACTGCTTGATATTGTAATGCTTGTATCTTGTAATGCTTGTATCTTGTAATGCTTGTATCTTGTAATGCTTGTATCTTGTACTGCTTGCATCTTGTACTGCTTGATATTGTAATGCTTGCATCTTGTACTGCTTGTATCTTGTACTGCTTGTATATTGTACTGCTTGTATCTTGTACTGCTTGATATTTGTACTGCTTGTATCTTGTACTGCTTGATATTGTAATGCTTGTATCTTGTAATGCTTGTATCTTGTAATGCTTGCATCTTGTACTGCTTGTATCTTGTACTGCTTGTATCTTGTACTGCTTGCATCTTGTACTGCTTGTATCTTGTACTGCTTGTATCTTGTACTGCTTGTATCTTGTACTGCTTGTATCTTGTACTGCTTGCATCTTGTACTGCTTGTATCTTGTACTGCTTGATATTGTAATGCTTGTATCTTGTACTGCTTGTATCTTGTACTGCTTGTATCTTGTACTGCTTGCATCTTGTACTGCTTGTATCTTGTACTGCTTGTATCTTGTACTGCTTGCATCTTGTACTGCTTGTATCTTGTACTACTTGTATCTTGTACTGCTTGTATCTTGTACTGCTTGTATCTTGTACTTCTTGTCTGCTTGTATCTTGTACTGCTTGCATCTTGTAATGCTTGTATCTTGTACTGCTTGTATCTTGTACTGCTTGTATCTTGTACTGCTTGTATCTTGTACTGCTTGCATCTTGTACTGCTTGTATCTTGTACTGTTTGATATTGTAATGCTTGTATCTTGTACTGATTGTATCTTGTACTGCTTGTATCTTGTACTGCTTGTATCTTGTACTGCTTGCATCTTGTACTGCTTGCATCTTGTAATGCTTGTATCTTGTAATGCTTGTATCTTGTACTGCTTGCATCTTGTACTGCTTGTATCTTGTACTGCTTGTATCTTGTACTACTTGTATTTTGTACTGCTTGCATCTTGTATTGCTTGTATCTTGTACTACTTGTATATTGTACTGCTTGCATCTTGTACTTGCTTGTATCTTGTACTACTTGTATCTTGTACTGCTTGTATCTTGTACTGCATGTATCTTGTAATGCTTATAGCTTGTACTGCTTGCATCTTGTACTGCTTGTATCTTGTCCTGCTTGCATCTTGTACTGCTTGTATCTTGTACTCCTTGCATCTTGTACTGCTTGATATTGTACTGCTTGCATCTTGTACTGCTTGCATCTTGAACTGCTTGATATTGTACACATTTAATACCAACCTGCCAACCCATCCTTATATGAAGTGACATCCAATCAGGTCACATTTTATAAAGTCCACTTAGACTGTCCTTCCTCCACTAATTATTGAGCCCGTGACTTCGTTAATAGCAGAGGAAAAATTACTTCCCTTTATAGTAATATCTCAAAGTGACCAAATGACGTACATTTTCTCAAACGTAATGTTCTACATTTCAGAGACAGGCGCTGGAAGATTGAGACCTGCTCAATTAAGGCTCTATGTTGAGAATAAACCTTGCTGAAATACATTCGTGATGTGTCTCCTGTCCATCTGCACCATTTGTAGCATTGTGGAGGATAGCGACGCATGCATCCAGACTCCTCCATCAGCGGGGCGTGCCATGTGCTTCACACTGCTGGGTTGGAACAACCTGATAAGATTGAGCTACGTGTAACTTAGACGACCCATTAGTAGATAAAAATGGCATCACTGCACACTTATCAACTGCTGACAAGTTCGAAGAGTAGAAAGGTCAATCTGTCTACAGTAACATATGTTAAAACAATTATTAATACATAGACCATAACCTATATAACCAATAACATGTAGACCACCACCTATACTACCACTAACACGTAGACAATTACCTATACCACCACTAACACGTAGACCATCATCTATACCGCCACTAACACGTAGACCATCACCTATACCTCCATTAACATGTAGAACGTCGCCTATACCACCACTTACATGTAGACCATCATCTATACCACCACTAACATGTAGACCACCACCTATACCACCACTAACACGTAGACCATCACCTATACCACCACTAACCCGTAGATCATCACCTATACCTCCACTGACATGTAGACCATCACCTATACCACCACTAACCCGTAGATCATCACCTATACCTCCACTAACACGTAGACCATCACCTATACCACCACTAACGCGTAGACCATCATCTATACCACCACTAACACGTAGACCATCACCTATACCACCACTAACGCGTAGATCATCACCTATACCGCCACTAACACGTAGACCATCACCTATACCACCACTAACGCGTAGATCATCACCTATACCGCCACTAACACGTAGACCATCATATATACCACCACTAACACGTAGACCATCACCTATACCACCACTAACACGTAGATCATCACCTAGACCTCCACTAACACGTAGACCATCATCTATACAACCACTAACAAGTAGACCATCATCTATACCTCCACTAACACGTAGACCATCACCTACACCACCACTAACACGTAGATCATCACCTAGACCTCCACTAACACATAGACCATCATCTATACAACCACTAACAAGTAGACCATCATCTATACCTCCACTAACACGTAGACCATCACCTACACCACCACTAACACATAGACCATCACCTATACCACCACTAACACGTAGACCATCACCTATACCACCACTAACACGTACACCATCACCTATACCTCCAGTAACATGTACATCGTCACCTATACCACCTTAGTACTAATATGTGGACAGTCTGCAAGGGTAGTGTGACCTTAACTTCTCCCTAGGTGTGTTACAGTGGTGTGTTCAGTTGTCTGACTGGCCTGACAAGGGCTGTCTACATGGGTTGTCCGACTCTCCTGACAAGGGCTGTCTACCATGGGTTGTCTGACTGGCCTGACAAGGGCTGTCTACCATGTGTTGTCCGACTCTCCTGACAAGGGCTGTCTACCATGGGTTGTCTGACTGGCCTGATCAAAAGGGCTGTCTACCATGGGTTGTCTGACTGGCCTGATGACAAGGGCTTTCTACCATGGGTTGTCTGACTGGCCTGACAAGGGCTGTCTACCATGTGTTGTCTGACTCTCCTTACAAGGGCTGTCTACCATGGGTTGTCTGACTGGCCTGACAAGGGCTGTCTACCATGTGTTGTCCGACTCTCCTGAAAAGGGCTGTCTACCATGTGTTGTCCGACTCTCCTGACAAGGGCTGTCTACCATGTGTTGTCCGACTCTCCTGACAAGGGCTGTCTACCATGGGTTGTCTTGCTGGCCTGACCACAAGGGCTATCTACTATGGGTTGTCTGGGTGGCCTGACCACAAGGGCTATCTTCTATGGGTTGTCTTGCTGGCCTGACCACAAGGGCTTTCTACCATGGGTTGTCTGGGTGGCCTGACCACAAGGGCTATCTACCATGGGTTGTCTTGCTGGCCTGACCACAAGGGCTATCTACTATGGGTTGTCTGGGTGGCCTGACCACAAGGGCTATCTACTATGGGTTGTCTTGCTGGCCTGACCACAAGGGCTTTCTACCATGGGTTGTCTGGGTGGCCTGACCACAAGGGCTATCTACCATGGGTTGTCTTGCTGGCCTGACCACAAGGGCTATCTACTATAGGTTGTCTTGCTGGCCTGTCCAAGGGCTATCTACCATGGGTTGTTTGACTGACCTGATGACAAGGGCTTTCTACCATGGGTTGTCTGACTGACCTGACCACAGAGGCTATCTACTATGGGTTGTCTGACTGACCTGACCACAGAGGCTATCTACTATGAGTTGTCTGACTGACCTGACCACAGAGGCTATCTACTATGGGTTGTCTGACTGACCTGACCACAGAGGCTATCTACTATGGGTTGTCTGACTGACCTGACCACAGAGGCTATCTACTATGAGTTGTCTGACTGACCTGACCACAGAGGCTATCTACTATGGGTTGTCTGACTGACCTGACCACAGAGGCTATCTACTATGGGTTGTTTGACTGACATGATGACAAGGGCTATCTACTATGGGTTGTTTGACTGACATGATGACAAGGGCTATCTACTATGGGTTGTCTGACTGACATGATGACAAGGGCTTTCTACTATGGGTTGTCTGACTGACCTGACCACAAGGGCTGTCTACCATGGGTTGTTTGACTGACATGATGACAAGGGCTATCTACTATGGTTTGTTTGACTGACATGATGACAAGGGCTATCTACTATGGGTTGTCTGACTGACCTGACCACAGAGGCTATCTACTATGGGTTGTTTGACTGACATGATGACAAGGGCTTTCTACTTTGGGTTGTTTGACTGACATGATGACAAGGGCTGTCTACTTTGGGTTGTTTGACTGACCTGACCACAGAGGCTATCTACCATGGGTTGTTTGACTGGCATGATGACAAGGGCTATCTACTATGGGTTGTTTGACAGGCATGATGACAAGGGCTGTCTACTTTGGGTTGTTTGACTGGCCTGATCACAGAGGCTATCTACTTTGGGTTGTTTGACTGACATGATGACAAGGGCTATCTACTATGGGTTGTCTGACTGACATGATGACAAGGGCTTTCTACCATGGGTTGTTTGACTGACCTGACCACAGAGGCTATCTACTATGGGTTGTCTGACTGACATGATGAGAAGGGCTGTCTACTATGGGTTGTTTGACTGACCTGACCACAGAGGCTATCTACTATGGGTTGTTTGACTGACATGATGACAAGGGCTGTCTACTTTGGCTTGTCTGGCCCATGTATGACAACAAATCATTTCTATCTTCATGGGTGCGGCATAAAGTTGGTTCCCTCTTAAATATTAACAAGATACACAAAAATATATCTAATGATTTAATTGCAAAAACAGGGTAACAATACAGACCAAAATAAAAAAGATGTGAACAAGGCTTGACCAGTGAGGGCGGTTTGTGTATAAATGTTACTGTCTGTTTCAGTACAATAAACACAGACTAGACAAAGTGTAAAAAATAAAACCACTAACAATCCAGTTGTGCATGGTGTATAACATATATAGGCTTCATGTGCCACAATCAATGTAAAGGTAGGGTCCACAAGGCTCTCTGCCTTACCTGTGTACAATGAAATGTTATAATATAGGCAAATATATGCAAATATATGTAAAATGTGCCTGAAAACACAGTGTTTAAAATGTCAAATTCAGCACTGACCAAGAATTGTGCCAAATAATTCCACAATGGCACGAAATTTCTGAGAGACAAACTCTCAGTTTCAAAACCCCCAAGAAACTATGGAAAGTTGTGTACAGATTGTCGAGGTTAACCTCAACTCAGATCATAGCAATTTCTTAAACGTCTAATATATATACCGACGCCACAGCACCACAACATAAGCTCACGTGACTTCTCGTGAAGTGAGCTAAAAACGAAAATGAAGAAATCTCCTACAATCTGAATGCACTTTTGGTTCTGACTTACATATTGCACATTTGTTTTCATAGGGCACATAGGTTGCTGGACTGAGTCCTGTGAGTGACAGCTGGTGATAAACAAAAACAGACACACAACTCAAGTATATTGTGTGTATGTTTTGTGTCCAGTGTACATCTCATTACGATGGATAAAGAACTGTGCAGTGTTTCCTACCCTGGAATTGCTGTAGGTCTGCACATAAATACTATCGTCCTCCAACAGGAGGTGACACGAAGGACAGTGAACGATCAGCTGTAATTCTGTATTTGCAAATATTTGTTCAGATCTGGAAATTTAATAATGTAATGAGAACTGAACTGTGATCTTCTTTGACACGGGGAACACTGTAACCACCAGGCCCCTACTTCACCTTGACACGGGGAACACTGTAACCACCAGGCCCCCACTTCACCGTAATGTGGGGAACACTGCAACCACCAGGCCCCTACTTCACCGTGACACGGGGGAACACTGTAACCACCAGGCCCCTACTTCACCGTGACACGGGGAACACTGTAACCACCAGGCTCCCACTTCACCGTGACACAGAGAACACTGTAACCACCAGGGCCCCTACTTCACTTTGACACAGGGAACACTGTAACCACCAGGCTCCCACTTCACCTTGACACAGGGAACACTGTAACCACCAGGCCCCTACTTCACCTTGACACAGGGAACACTGTAACCACCAGGCCCCACTTCACCGTGACACAGAGAACACTGTAACCACCAGGGCCCCTACTTCACCTTGACACGGGAACACTGTAACCACCAGGCCCCCACTTCACCTTGACACAGGGAACACTGTAACCACCAGGCCCCCACTTCACCTTGACACAGGGAACACTGTAACCACCAGGCCCCTACTTCACCTTGACACGGGGAACACTGTAACCACCAGGCCCCTACTTCACCTTGACACAGGGAACACTGCAACCACCAGGCTCCCACTTCACCTTGACACAGGGAACACTGGAACACTGCAAACCTGTAACCACCAGCCCCCACTTCACCTTGACACGGGGAACACTGCAACCACCAGGCCCCCACTTCACCTTGACACAGGGAACACTGCAACCACCAGGCTCCCACTTCACCTTGACACAGGGAACACTGTAACCACCAGGCTCCCACTTCACCATGACACAGGGAACACTGTAACCACCATGCCCCCACTTCACCATGACACGGGGAACACTGTAACCACCAGGCCCCCACTTCACCATGACACAGGGAACACTGTAACCACCAGGCCCCTACTTCACCTTGACACGGGGAACACTGTAACCACCAGGCCCCCACTGTCCACCAGGCCCCACTTCACCGACACGGGGAACACTGTAACCACCAAGCTCCCACTTCACCGTGACACGGGGAACACTGTAACCACCATGCCCCTACTTCACCGTGACACAGGGAACACTGTAACCATCAGGCCCCCACTTCACCGTGACACGGGGAACACTGTAACCATCAGGCCCCCCACTTCACCGTGACACGGGAACACTGTAACCACCAGGCTCCCACTTCACCGTGACACACGGGAACACTGTAACCACCAGGCCCCACTTCACCGTGACACGGGAACACTGTAACCACCAGGCTCCCACTTCACCGTGACACGGGGAACACTGTAACCACCAAGCTCCCACTTCACCGTGACACGGGGAACACTGTAACCACCAGGCTCCCACTTCACCGTGACACGGGGAACACTGTAACCACCATGCCCCTACTTCACCGTGACACAGGGAACACTGTAACCATCAGGCCCCCACTTCACCATGACACGGGGAACACTGTAACCATCAGGACCCCACTTCACCGTGACACGGGGAACACTGTAACCACCAGGCCCCCACTTCCCACTGCACTGTCTCAGTTTGTGTCAGTTTGTGGACGCGTGTCAGTTTGTGGATGTGTCACCCTGCACACTGAAACAGTCACTGTGAAGTGACACATGGTACATTTGTTCATCACCTAAGGGACGCAACGCTGCATGTCAATTTGCCATGCTTGATTAAGGCACTCGAGCAGTACAATGCGCATGCATACAGCATACAATTGTACAATTGTACAATACAAGTGGCTATTCTCAAACTACTGTGGCTGGATGTAAAGTATGTAGTGAATCTGATTAATGTAGTTGCCATAGAAACACAAACAGTCTATTCTGGAATGTAAAAGGGGGGACAATTGGTAACCATATATAAACACTGACAATAAAGCTAACTAGGTACAGTGGATTTAAAAAAAACACACATGTAAAACAACAAACACAATGTGAACAAATTCGATTTGACCCTGGAATCTTTCATTACCCTGATTGAAAGTATTTGTTTATCCATCCAAATTTTGACAAGTAACGTTGGGCACGACAATCCTACATTTGGTATAATACACTTTTCTCCATATTGTCATTTTGTTTGCCTTTCAACATTTTTCAGGATTCTGTTTTCTTTATTTGTTCTGTTTTCACGGAAAAATGTATTTTATTTGTACCTGTGAAGATAAAGCTGAGTTCAGAGACATCAAGTATGTTGTTCACCGGTGACTGGTGGCAACAGTTAATTTTCATCTTTCACAATGAGTGTAATGATTTGAGGGACTGGAAATGAAACCGATCGTGAATCCTCAATATAGAATCCTCAATATAAACCTGAAGGGTGCGTCTCACTATATATCACACATGCCTTCTTTTCCCGGAATAACCGCATTGTTTGCTCCCAGGTTTTACTTTTTGTAAGTAAGACCTCTTCCCAGGTTTTACTTTTTCTTAACTCTATATTAACATCAACATTCAAATTCAGATGATATGTGATATTATAAAATAACATCAAAGATCAATGTTAATGTGCAAATGTTTTCCCAAGCAGGATTGGAACGGCATCTCTCAGGATTTGAAGCGGGCGCTCTACTTCACGGCCACCGGGCCGACAAAGAAGCCAGGGTTGAATTATCTATTTATAGTTAGGCCACTGTCATTAAATTGATTTTGCTAGTGCTTCAGTTACTGTTATGTAGCTTCATTACATGATCATCTAATTATCCATCATTGACGGTTTATATGTATAACACATAACCCTTAGAAATACCTTCAGACAGACATGCTCAGAAGGCATCTGTTCCAATAACACCGACCTGTATGTCGATTGTAATGTAGATGCAATGTTTGTTATATATTGTTAGATCGCCAATCTGCTGAACAAAAGTAATTTACATATTGACCGCAGCATAAAACCAACTTGCCAGCAGTAATGAAACATTCTCCATCGGAGACGTGAAAAAAACATTTGAAAATTACCCTAAAAAGTAATACTTTTGTTGAATCACTTTGGACAAAAAACAAGTTTATAAAGTTTGATTACAATTCTCATCATGTATATGAGGGAAAATGTCGAACTAACATAAAACAGGAGGTGATTTGTCAGATATATCACAATTCCTTTAAGTCTTAAAAAATGTAGTACATATTCAAAAAGGGTATTGATCATTTTCAAGGACAAATGCACAACACAAGTTTGATAAACACAATATTCACAGCTGGGAAAAATGCCAGAATCTTGTGAAACATGAACACAACAAAGAAATAGTAAAATAACAATACTCTCTCACAGCTCCAGTTAACATTTACCTCATGTGGGTACTGTACCCACTGTATTTTTTTGGTATGAATGTTGAGTGGGTATTTCATTTTCCGTTACCCACTGCTTTCAAATATGTGCGTATTTCAGTCATTTTACTCACCTAAGTATTATGTGACTGAGTAAGTTTACTAAGCAGGTATGTTCTGCCTCATGTCATACCTAATCAAAACCAACTTAAATATAATGGAAATGATTTCATAAAAAATCATTCATCCTATACTGACAGTACAACACTAGTCCTATACTAACAGTACAACTTGATAGCAATCGATGTCTTTTTCATTACGCAAGCGATTTTTATAAATATATTCCGTAGGCATCTGTTTTAAACTTTTGCGTATCTAACATTTTAAATGTGTAATTGGTACGTTTTCAATGCGTAATGGGCAACTTTCACAGTGAAACATGTGTAAAACTCTTCAGTTGAGAACAGTTATAAGTAATGGAGAATTGTTGTACATATCCAGCACCGTCTGCCCTCCGAGATCTCACTACGAACTGGTCGGTGCTGTATACGCCTATTGCACGAAGGTCTTGTGTGTCATCTTTATCACTATTGCATCAATATCACAACATACTTTACACATATCCTCCATGTGATTGGGAAATCTGGTACTACTTAAATATTTTCAAATGGAATATTAATGTTCACTGACCAGGCGTGCTGAACAGTGGAGGTTATAGAGTAGAGAATTGGACCGTTACAAATCAATCTGGTAGAACAGGTTCAAACAGTCGGACGTCCCAACGACCCCATTAGTGCACTATGTGCCAAGATGTCTAATCATGCTGACAAAAACACAGAGATTAAATACACCTGCAAATATGTCACCTTTCAATTCAATGTTCCCAAAACAGGTGACTGCCTGCACCAGCAGTAGGTGGAAACTGTCTGTATATCAGGCTATCATTTCCAGACACAAAAACTCCTTAAAGTTGATTTGAATTGAACATGAATTTAAATCTGAAAACAAATATGACTGAAGTGTGATTATCCTTGGTATGTCTTGACAATTTGTTTGTATAAAAATACAAATAGTAAAAATAAAAACAGTTTCGTACCAACTTCTTAAAAGAGTGAGTGAGTGAGTTTAGTTTTATGCCGCACTCAGTTATATTCCAGCTATATGGTGGCGGTCTGTAAATAATCAAGTCTGGACCAGTGATCTACAGCATGAGCATCGATCTGAGCAATTGGGAACCGATGACATATGTCAACCAAGCCAGCAAGCCTGACCACCCGATCCCGTTAGTCGCCTCTTACGACAAGCATGGGTTACTGAAGGTTCATTCTAACCCGGACCTTCACGTGTTTCTTAAAAGAATATGCACATAAAATCCGTATTTTTCAGAAACTTTCATTATTCAGTGTGGCTGTCATGTGGAGTACCTGATTACAAGGGTGTAGAACCACAATATAATTCATCAACCTTCCGTGTTGAAGTACATCTAGCCCAGGGAGAACACATGTGGACGGAGATAGGCATAGTGCTGTCAGAATCGTGAAGAAATGGACAGGAGAGCAGAAAAATGCCATGTATAAACTATCACTTGTCTTCCTCTAGAGAAGTAAAATGCCATGTATAAACTATCACTTGTCTTCCTCCAGCTCATCCGTGTCTTCCTCCAGTACTGCTGTGTCTCCTGAAACAGATCAATCTGGCTGTAGTCGATGCCAACCTTCTCAATACACTGTCTAATCTACGTGGACATATTGCCCATACATGATTGGGTCTCTCAGGGTTTGACCATCTGCTCATGACACAAGTTTTAAACTAGCTGGTTTCCTTGTAAGGGAGTTACACTTGTCCAGTTCTTTACTCAAAGCAATTTACAGTCGAGCACCGTTGTGTCGAACTCTGATAACTCGATATCTCGGTTGTCTCCGATATAACATCTCAGTCCCGGCAGAATCCTTCATTATTTATCATTATTCAAGCTCTTTTAACTCGATACAGATGTCTCGATATTTCAGATATCTCGATATAATTTCATGGTCCCAACAAGCTAAATTACCCTTGTAACTCGATATTTACAAAGCAACTCGATATTCACCAACCTTTCATGCGCAAGTATCCGTTTGAACTGAGATTGTTTCCACACGGTGCCGCGAAGTTCGTATAACCCGATATATTTTCCTGGTCCCATGAATATCGAGACAATGATGCTTGACTGTATGCTCTTTTAACAAAATGTTTTATTGTCTGACATCAAGAAGGTCCAGCAACCAATTAGGTTTCTTCACAAAACGTAAGGCCAATATTCTTACTCAACTACGTACATGTTCCCATCCCTTTCCCAAGACAATATTAAAAGTGCAAGTTCCCAAAAGATGGCAAGAAACTCATGCAAGAAGCAAGCATGTACCTCTCTTGACCTTGAGGTCTTCCGGCAGTTGATACTCGGTGTTCTCCGGAGTCACTGCAACACACACATGCAACATGCAGCGGTCAGACATGCAGCGGTCAGACGACCTCAAACACAACGAGGAAGATCACCTGCAATCCCTCCACAAGGTACGAAGATTGACAGTCAACTCAGGTATGTAGACTGACAATCAACTCAGGTAGATAGATTGACAATCAACTCAGGTATGTAGACTGACAATCAACTCAGGTAGATAGATTGACAATCAACTCAGGTATGTAGACTGACAATCAACTCAGGTACGTAGATTGACAGTCAACTCAGGTAGATAGATTGACAATCAACTCAGGTACATAGACTGACAATCAACTCAGGTATGTAGTTTGACAGTCAACTCAGGTAGATAGATTGACAATCAACTCAGGTACATAGACTGACAATCAACTCAGGTATGTAGTTTGACAGTGTAGTTTGACAACTCAACTAGATTGAGGTATGTAGTAGACTGACAATCAACTCAGGTACTCAGATTGACAGTCAACTCAGGTAAGTAGATTGACAATCAACTCAGGTACATAGACTGACAATCAACTCAGGTACATAGACTAACAGTCAACTCAAGTACGTATAGATTGACAGTCAACTCAGGTATGTAGTTTGACAGTCATCTCAGCTACGTAGATTGACAATCAACTCAGGTATATAGATTGACAATCAACTCCGGTACATAGACTGACAATCAACTCAGGTACTCAGATTGACAGTCAACTCAGGTAAGTAGATTGACAATCAACTCAGGTACATAGACTGACAATGAACTCAGGTAGATAGACTAACAGTCAACTCAAGTACATAGATTGACAGTCAACTCAGGTATGTAGTTTGACAGTCAACTCAGGTACATAGATTGACAGTCAACTCAGGAACGTAGATTGACAGTCAACTCAGATAAGTAGATTGACAATCAACTCAGGAAGATAGACTAACAGTCAACTCAGGTACATAGATTGACAGTCAACTCAGGAACGTAGATTGACAGTCAACTCAGATAAGTAGATTGACAATCAACTCAGGAAGATAGACTAACAGTCAACTCAGGTACGTAGATTGACAGAAGTTCACTTGACCTGGAATCGGGTGAGCTATGAGCATCCACAATTCAACTACTGATACAGTTAGCTTATATGTACAGCTAACAAATATTCAGAAATTCCATGCTCAGCCAGACACATTCATGTTTCCAAGGCAAAGGCTTGATGCTTTAAATATACTAGGCACAAAAAATAAAGGAACCCGTGGACTTTGTGAAGCATGAATAATTTAATCAGCACCACCGTATGTATGTCAGATATACTTAATAACGAGCGTGTCCACCATGAGCAGCAATACATGCACGACACCTTGCAGGCATGCTGGACACCAACCGCTGAATTGTCGCCCTTGGAATCACGTGCCACTCTTGCTGCAGTGCTCTACCTAACACATCAAGATTTGCTGGTGCAGGGTCCCTGAGACGCACTCGACGCCCTAACACATCCCACAGATGTTTGATAGGGGAGAGATCTGGTGTTTTAGATGGCCAGGGTAAAGTTGTAACACCTTGTTATTGCAAGAACTTCACGGCAACATGAGCTCTGTGAGGACGTGCATTATCGTCCTGAAAATTTCGACCTGCCCTGTAAGCCATTGGAACCACGTGTGGCCGTAAGATCTCGTCCATATACCTCTGGCCTGTCAAATTACCCCGTACAAGAATCAAATCAGTCCTCCTATTGAAAGAAATTCCTCCCCAGACCATGATAGAGCCGCCTCCATAAGAATCGTGTTCCTGTACCGTGGGTCTCCTATAACGCTCTCCTCGGCATCGCCACACGCGCAATCGTCCATCCGTGAATCATAAACGAAAGTGGGATTCATCACTAAACATCACATGTCGCCATTGCCGGTTCCCCCACCTCTGATGTTGCTGAGCCCACCGATAACGAAGACGTCTGTGGTTAGCTGTCCTCGACACGCCTTTGACTTAAGACCTCTGCTACGGAGCCTGTTTCGTACAGTAGAGTTCGAAATCCGTGTTCCTATGGCTCTGAAAAATTCCATCTTCAAATCCGGGGCTGTGACAAATCGATTCCTCAAAACTATAGCTCTCAGGATGTTGCCTTGTCTGGGGATTTTAGGGCGTCTTCCTAGACCGGTCCTCATTTTAATGCCCCCTGTCTGACTGTAAAGGTTGATGAGACGGGAAATTACGCTTTTGGACTTCCTGAAAAACCGGTCCACACTATTCTGAGATTGTCCACCCTCTATCATGCCAGTGGCCTGCCATTTCTGTGCGTTTGTCAGGTACTGTCGAGGTGGCATTTTCACAAGAGATAGTGGGACACGCTTACTGTCAGTTTTATAGGCTAGAATGCATGTGTATCATGTGAAGGTAATATGGTGCTGACTGCGATATCAGCCGTAAATGATTTCCGATCTGGGTTCGAATGCAATCAGCTTGCAACTTTTATGTAGCATTGTTTCAACTATAAATTCCACTTGGGGGTTCCCTTATCTCTTGTGCCTAGTATATAATGAACCAAGTACTAACATGCTAATTAACTTTCAACCAATAACATGCACAAATTGAAAAGGAATCTCACAGCATTAATTCAGATAAATACTTGCAAGCTGAACCTTCAACAGAGCTTATTCCTGCAGAGATGTTGCTACAATTGCAAGAACAGATCTGCACTGCTACGTAAAAATACACTAAGTTAGTGGCTTGCAGGCCCATGATTGATGAGATGTTTGAGGCGCTGTGTGTGACCCACCTTTCTTCAACACGGAAATCACCAACAGACCAAGGCCAATGAGAAGAGTGAATGAACACATGGCTGCCCCTGTGATAGGTAAGCTGGTCGACACTGAAACATATGTAAAGTCAATGACGCAGTGATACTAAATGCTGTAGTAATAGATTCAGTCATATGTCCAGTGATACTAAATGCTGGAGTAATAGCTTCAGTCATATGTCCAGTGATACTAAATGCTGTAGTAATAGCTTCAGTCATATGTCCAGTGATACTAAATACTGTAGTAATAGCTTCAGTCATATGTCCAGTGATACTAAATACTGTAGTAATAGCTTCAGTCATATGTCCAGTGATACTAAATACTGTAGTAATAGCTTCAGTCATATGTCCAGTGATACTAAATACTGTAGTAATAGCTTCAGTCATATGTCCAGTGATACTAAATACTGTAGTAATAGCTTCAGTCATATGTCCAGTGATACTAAATACTGTAGTAATAGCTTCAGTCATATGTCCAGTGATACTAAATACTGTAGTAATAGCTTCAGTCATATGTCCAGTGATACTAAATACTGTAGTAATAGCTTCAGTCATATGTCCAGTGATACTAAATACTGTAGTAATAGCTTCAGTCATATGTCCAGTGATACTAAATACTGTAGTAATAGCTTCAGTCATATGTCCAGTGATACTAAATACTGTAGTAATAGCTTCAGTCATATGTCCAGTGATACTAAATACTGGAGTAATTCAGCCATCATATGTCCAGTGATACTAAATACTGGAGTAATAGCTTCAGTCATATGTCCAGTGATACCAAATGCTGTGTAGTAAATAGCTTCAGTCATATGTCCAGTGATACTAAATACTGCGGAGTAATAGATTCAGTCATATGTCCAGTGATACTAAATACTGTAGTAATAGCTTCAGTCATATGTCCAGTGATACTAACACTGTAGTAATAGCTTCAGTCATATGTCCAGTGATACTTCAAATACTGTAGTAATAGATCTGAACATGTCAGTCATACCAAATCCAGTGATACTAATATGATGATTGAAGATTGTAATAATAGCTTCAGTCATATGTCCAGTGATACTAAATACTGTAGTAATTGGTTCAGTCATATGTCCAGTGATACCAAATACTGTAGTAATAGCTTCAGTCATATGTCCAGTGATACCAAATACTGTAGTAATAGCTTCCTAGTCATATGTCCAGTGATACTAAATACTGAATAATAGCTTCAGTCATATGTACAGTGATACCAAATACTGTAGTAATAGATTCAGTCATATGTCCAGTGATACTAAATACTGTAGTAATAGATTCAGTCATATGTCCAGTGATACTAAATACTGTAGTAATAGCTTCAGTCATATGTCCAGTGATACTAAATACTGGAGTAATAGCTTCAGTCATATATATGTCCAGTGATACTTTAAATACTGTAGTAATTGCTTCAGTCATATGTCCAGTGATACTACAAATACTGAGTAATAGCTTCAATCATATGTCCAGTGATACCAAATACTGTAGTAATAGCTTCAGTCATATGTACAGTGATACTAAATACTGTAGTAATAGATTCAAGTCATGTCCAGTGATACTAAATACTGTAGTAATAGATTCAGTCATATGTCCAGTGATACTAAATACTGTAGTAATAGCTTCAGTCATATGTCCAGTGATACTAAATACTGGAGTAATAGCTTCAGTCATATATGTCCAGTGATACTAAATACTGTAGTAACTACTTTCAGTCATATGTCCAGTGATACTAAATACTGAGTAATAGCTTCAGTCATATGTCCAGTGATTACTAAATACTGTAGTAATAGCTTCAGTCATATGTCCAGTGATACTAAATACTGTAGTAATAGCTTCAGTCATATGTCCAGTGATACTAAATACTGTAGTAATAGATTCAGTCATATGTCCAGTGATACTAAATACTGGAGTAATAGATTCAGTCATATGTCCAGTGATACTAAATACTGTAGTAATAGCTTCAGTCATATGTCCAGTGATACTAAATACTGTAGTAATTGCTTCAGTCATATGTCCAGTGATACTAAATACTGTAGTAATAGATTCAGTCATATGTCCAGTGATACTAAATACTGGAGTAATAGCTTCAGTCATATGTCCAGTGATACTAAATACTGGAGTAATAGCTTCAGTCATATGTCCAGTGATACTAAATACTGTAGTAATAGCTTCAGTCATATGTCCAGTGATACTAAATACTGTAGTAATAGATTCAGTCATATGTCCAGATTGCTTCACAGACTCTCTGACATCAGTCACAGGGTCATCAGAACTTCTGCAAATGTGAATTTGTCAGAGATGTAAGTACAGTGAGAGATTCACCCTTACTGAACTGAGACACCAGGGTGAAGTCTCTCACCTGAACAGAACTGAGACACCAGGATGGGGTGGAGTCTCTCACCTGAACAGAACTGAGATACAAGGATGGGGTGGAGCCTCTCACCTGAACAGAACTGAGACACCAGGATGGGGTGGAGCCTCTCACTTGAACAGAACTGAGATACCAGGATGGGGTGGAGCCTCTCACCTGAACAGAACTGAGATACCAGGATGGGGTGGAGTCTCTCACCTGAACAGAACTGAGATACCTGGATGGGGTGGAGCCTCTCACCTGAACAGAACTGAGATACCTGGATGGGGTGGAGTCTCTCACCTGAACAGAACTGAGATACCAGGATGGGGTGGAGCCTCTCACTTGAACAGAACTGAGATACCTGGATGGGGTGGAGTCTCTCACTTGAACAGAACTGAGATACCTGGATGGGGTGGAGTCTCTCACTGAACAGAACTGAGATACCTGGATGGGGTGGAGTCTCTCACTTGAACAGAACTGAGATACCTGGATGGGGTGGAGTCTCTCACCTGAACAGAACTGAGATACCAGGATGGGGTGGAGTCTCTCACCTGAACAGAACTGAGATACCAGGATGGGGTGGAGTCTCTCACCTGAACAGAACTGAGATACCTGGATGGGGTGGGGTGGAGCCTCTCACTTGAACAGAACTGAGATACCAGGATGGGGTGGAGCCTCTCACCTGAACAGAACTGAGACAACAGGATGGGGTGGAGCCTCTCACCTGAACAGAACTGAGACAACAGGATGGGGTGGAGCCTCTCACCTGAACAGAACTGAGATAACAGGATGGGGTGGAGCCTCTCACCTGAACAGAACTGAGACACCAGGATGGCGTGGATGGTCCCCAGCAGCAACATGAACGCCCCCAGGATGATGCCCAGGAGCCACAGCGTCCCCTTCTCCACCATCTCCTCCTGTCCCGTATCTGCAACACAGGCGTCTACTTCAACACAGGCGTCTACTTCAACACAGGCGTCTACTTCAACACAGGCGTCGACTTCAACACAAGCTAGTGTCTACTTCAACACAGGCGTCTACTTCAACACAGGCGTCTACTTCAACACAAGCTAGTGTCTACTTCAACACAAGCGTCTACTTCAACACAAGCGTCTACTTCAACACAAGTGTCTACTTCAACACAAGCTAGTGTCTACTTCAACACAAGTGTCTACTTCAACACAAGTCTCTACTTCAAAAACTCTTTTTCACGTCTACATTTGAAAACAAAAAACGAAATACACATTTTTCAAGTTTCATATTTTGATGATGGAAGAAGCCTCATGAAAAATATACAAAAACAGAAGTCATGCCGCCTGAAAATATAACTGGTTTTTGTCACAAGAAATGTTACTTTGTACTTACATACACGCTCACCCGTAGAGCCCAGGTTACTCAGTACTTACATACACGCTCGCCCGTAGAGCCCAGGTACAATATAATGAGGTTAGTGAATCCGGAGATCCATAGAATAACTTCACACACAATCAGGTAGGTGTTGATCGAAGTGCACGATATACCTGTAACAATAACAGGATTTATTATGTAAACATAGTTTTCCGGCTACCTGATTGGTCTAGAGGCGGTCACGTGACCGTCGACAGAAAAGCATATTGACTCCAACCCAGGTCCGACCAAAAGTCATATTGACTTGAGTTACTAAAAATAGATTTTGACATCAATCTATGACGTCATTCTATTGTTTACATGTCACAGTATTGTTGACATAACGTTATTGGTTTGTAGCGAAAATAAAATTAGTTTTCTTGACTAAATGGACATGTTTTGGTTTTTAGAAGCTTTTTTCGTTAATTACATAATAAAGCAATTATGGACTGGTGAATTCGGTCAATACCTGTTTTTATGGACCCGCGAAAAGCAATATTGACTTCTGACTTCATCCTCAGTCAATATTGCTTTTCGTGGGTCCATAAAAACAGGTATTGACCTCATCACCAGTCTATAATTGTATAATATCTGTAACAATAACATGATGTATCTCCCACCATAACATGATATAACTCTCACAATAACATGATATACCTGTAACAATAACACTGTATGATATACCTGCAACAATAACACTGTATGATACACCTGTAACAATAACACTGTATGATATACCTGTAACAATAACACCGTATGATATACCTGTAACAATAACACTGTATGGTATACCTGTACCAATAACACTGTATGATACACCTGTAACAATAACACCGTATGATATACCTGTAACAATAACACTGTATGATATACCTGTAACAATAACACTGTATGATATACCTGTTACAATAACACTGTATGATATACCTGTTACAATAACACTGTATGATATACCTGTAACAATAACACCGTATGATATACCTGTAACAATAACACCGTGTATGATATACCTGTAATAACACTGTATGATATACCTGTAACAATAACACTGTATGATATACCTGTAACAATAACACTGTATGATATACCTGTAACAATAACACTGTATGATATACCTGTAACAATAACACTGTATGATATACCTGTAACAATAACACTGTATGATATACCTGTAACAATAACACTGTATGATATACCTGTAACAATAACACTGTATGATATACCTGCAACAATAACACTGTATGATATACCTGTAACAATAACACTGTATGATATACCTGCAACAATAACACTGTATGATATACCTGTAACAATAACACTGTATGATATACCTGTAACAATAACACTGTATGATATACCTGTAGCAATAACACTGTATGATATACCTGTAACAATAACACCGTATGATATACCTGTAACAATAACACTGTATGATATACCTGTAACAATAACACTGTATGATACACCTGTAACAATAACACTGCATGATATACCTGTAGCAATAACACTGTATGATATACCTGTAACAATAACACTGTATGATATACCTGTTACAATAACACTGTATGATACACCTGTAACAATAACACCGTATGATATACCTGTAACAATAACACTGTATGATACACCTGTAACAATAACACTGTATGATACACCTGTAACAATAACAACACCTGTATGATATACCTGTAACAATAACACTGTATGATACACCTGTAACAATAACACTGTATGATACACCTGTAACAATAACACTGTATGATATACCTGTAAGCAATAACACTGTATGATATACCTGTAAACAATAACACTGTATGATATACCTGTAACAATAACACTGTATGATACACCTGTAACAATAACACCGTATGATATACCTGTAACAATAACACTGTATGATATACCTGTAACAATAACACTGTATGATATACCTGTAACAATAACACCGTATGATATACCTGTAACAATAACACCGTATGATATACCTGTAACAATAACACTGTATGATACACCTGTAACAATAACACCGTATGATATACCTGTAACAATAACACTGTATGATACACCTGTAACAATAACACTGTATGATACACCTGTAACAATAACACCGTATGATATACCTGTAACAATAACACTGTATGATATACCTGTAACAATAACACTGTATGATATACCTGTAACAATAACACTGTATGATATACCTGTAACAATAACACTGTATGATATACCTGTAACAATAACACTGTATGATATACCTGTAACAATAACACTGCATGATATACCTGTAGCAATAACACTGTATGATATACCTGTAACAATAACGATATACAGGTTGTTGGTACTGACCTGGACACGTAGTGTACATCTGCCGGACGGTGCTGGGATCTAGACACTCCGTGGCTTCTCCAGATATGGAGCACATGAAGACTTCACCATTCAGCTTGGTGTATTCTAGGAACAGACTAGAGGCAGCTGAGGTGGATTCAGCAAAAGTGCTGCCCTGAAACATACCAGAGTTTATACCTGCCATAAACTGCACTGCCTTCGAAGAAACACCATTACAGCATACATGCTGGTATTGGTTTGCATGGGACCTTTGAAACCTCACATACAGGTTGGAGTACAGACTTCATTCTCCAATATCTTCTGAATCATACGTGATATTGAAGCAATAACATCATCATCACCATTGTGTTAACTGTCATAGCCACCTGACATTGTTTAACATCATCACATTGTTTAACATCATCACCATTGTTGTTTAACTGTCAGTCATAGCCACCTGACATTGTTTAACATCATCACCATTGTGCGAACATAATGTCATAGCCACCTGACATTGTTTAACATCATCACCATTGTGTTAACTGTCATAGCCACCTGACATTGTTTAACATAATCACCATTGTGTTAACTGTCATAGCCACCTGACATTGTTTAACATCATCACCATTGTGTTAACTGTCATAGCCACCTGACATTGTTTAACATAATCACCATTGTGTTAACTGTCATAGCCACCTGACATTGTTTAACATCATCACCATTGTGTCATAACTTGTTTAACATAGCCACCATTGTGTTAACTGTCACATTGTTTAACATAATCACCATTGTGTTAACTGTCATAGCCACCTGACATTGTTTAACATCATCACCATTGTGTTAACTGTCATAGCCAGCCTGACCTTGTTTAACATACACCATTGTTTAACATCATCACCATTGTTTAACATCATCACCATTGTGCTAACTGTCATAGCCACCTGACATTGTTTAACATAATCACCATTGTGTTAACTGTCATAGCCACCTGACATTGTTTAACATCATCACCATTGTGTTAACTGTCATAGCCACCTGCTTTGTTTAACATGACATTGTTTAACATCATCACCATTGTGCGAACTGTCATAGCCACCTGACATTGTTTAACATCATCATTGTGTTAACTGTCATAGCCACCTGACATTGTTTAACATAATCACCATTGTCATAGTCATACCACCTGACATTGTTTAACATAATCACCATTGTGCTTAACTGTCATAGCCACCTTACATTGTTTAACATCAATAGCCACCTGTCATCACCATTGTTAACTGTCATAATCACCATGTCATAGCCACCTGACATTGTTTAACATCATCACCATTGTGCGAACTGTCATAGCACCTGACATTGTTTAACATCATCACCATTGTGCTTAACTGTCATAGCCACCTTATATTTTTAACATAATCACCATTGCCTGTCATAGCCACCTGACATTGTTTAACATAATCACCATTGTGCTAACTGTCATAGCCACCTGACATTGTTTAACATCATCACCATTGTGCGAACTGTCATAGCCACCTGACATTGTTTAACATAATCACCATTGTGCTAACTGTCATAGCCACCTGACATTGTTTAACATAATCACCATTGTGCTGTCATAGCCAACTGTTTAACATAGTGCGAACTGTCATAGCCACCTGACATTGTTTAACATCATCACCATTGTGAGAACTGTCATAGCCACCTGACATTGTTTAACATCATCACCATTGTTGTTTAACTGTCACCATTGCCAACTGTGTTTAACATATCCCATTGTGCCTGACATTGTTTAACATCATCACCATTGTGTTAACTGTCATAGCCACCTGACATTGTTTAACATCATCACCATTGTGCGAACTGTCATAGCCACCTGACATTGTTTAACATCATCACCATTGTGCTAACTGTCATAGCCACCTGACATTGTTTAACATAATCACCATTGTGTTAACTCTGTCTGTCGCAACCTGCAAGCACTATCAACCTTGTGTTAAATATTCATCTGAATTCAACATGTATACAAACACACACATTAGTTCATTCTTAATCATCAATAATTTACAATTAATTAGTCTTAATTCAATGATGATCGGAAGATGTGCCGACCATCACAACATCAGCGGCACCCTACACTTACATCAAGTCAATGTTGACCATCACAACATCAGTGGCAGCCTACACTTACATCAAGTCAATGTTGACCATCACAACATCAGTGGCAGCCTACACTTACATCAAGTCAATGTTGACCATCACAACATCAGTGGCAGCCTATATCTACATCAAGTCAATGTTGACCATCACAACATCAGCGGCAGCCTACCCTTACATCAAGTCAATGTGGACCATCACAACATCAGCGGCAGCCTACACTTACATCAAGTCAATGTTGACCATCACAACATCAGTGGCAGCCTACACTTACATCAAGTCAATGTTGACCATCACAACATCAGTGGCAGCCTACACTTACATCAAGTCAATGTGGACCATCACAACATCAGTGGCAGCCTACACTTACATCAAGTCAATGTGGACCATCACAACATCAGCAGCAGCCTACACTTACATCAAGTCAATGTTGACCATCACAACATCAGTGGCAGCCTACACTTACATCAAGTCAATGTGGACCATCACAACATCAGTGGCAGCCTACACTTACATCAGGTCAATGTTACTGCTGACCATCACAACATCAGCAGCAGCCTACACTTACATCAAGTCAATGTTGACCATCACAACATCAGCAGCAGCCTACCCTTACATCAAGTCAATGTTGACCATCACAACATCAGTGGCAGCCTACACTTACATCAAGTTAATGTGGACCATCACAACATCAGTGGCAGCCTACACTTACATCAAGTCAATGTGGACCATCACAACATCAGTGGCAGCCTACCCTTACATCAAGTCAATGTGGACCATCACAACATCAGTGGCAGCCTACACTTACATCAGGTCAATGTTACTGCTGACCATCACAACATCAGCAGCAGCCTACACTTACATCAAGTCAATGTTGACCATCACAACATCAGTGGCAGCCTACACTTACATCAAGTCAATGTGGACCA